TACAACCAGCAGGTGTTATAAGCTTGATAAAGTATCCAAAATGTCCAGGATTCAGTTTTTAATGCTTTTTTTTAGTAGTTTGAATTTAAGATGACAGCGTTTGTATTTATTGTGAGTTGATGGTATTGACAAAAGTTACCCTGCTGCTTTTTCCATTTTGGTTACCAGACTGTTCAGTATGTTAAACTAAAGATGAACAAAATACTGACTCCCTAGTGCTAAGTTAGGTCAGACAAATGGTAAAAAGTAGTAGTAATTATTTTAGTTTTGTATTGAGGATTATATCTTGACACCTTGTTACACTGACATAAAAGTAACATACAGTGTAAGAAATCACATTGCAAGGCTGTTTTGCTGGTATTTATGGGACTGTTTTAATATTCACATTTTCTGTTTACTGTAGTTCAATGAAGAGCACTGACTATAAGAAATTACTGTCTACAGGAAGCATGCTGCTTAAAGCAAAACTCGGAGGTGTGCAGAAATTTGTTAGAGTATCTGAGCCAAGCCTTAAGGAGTTTTTGATTGCCGGTAAGAAACCAACATTTTATTAAAAAGATGTACAAGGGGCTTTAAGTTCTTTTTGTTATTTAGTCTCTTCAAACTGCATTTTATGATTAATTGAAAATGATCTGTGTTTTGGAAGCATCTTAGTTATGAATGTATATTTAGTGGGAAAAAAAATGCATAATGTGAGTGTCACTCCTTTTAATCTACCACTTATCAAGCATGTTAGTGGCGCTTAATAATTTAGCCTTTCTTTATCCAACTCATTTTTGAAAAAGTATCTTGAAATGATCTTCATTTTAAGCTACAAAACATTAAATGTCATGTCTTTTTGTTTACACAAACTTGTGTGCTTGTTTCCAGCATTTGCAAAGTTTGGTGCGCCAGCCGTAACAGAAGGAGTGAAAGTTTTTGATAGTTCAGGGACTGAGTTGGATGAGGATGTATTTGAGGATATAGTAACAGATCCCTCAACCGGGGTACTAACCATCAAATATGAAACAGGTTTGTTTGAGTGATGTGTGTTTCACTGGATGTCATTTTTTTTAGTGTCATTATTACATTGTTTATTAGAAAGAGTTTATAAAATGTGTCTATGGAGGGACCATGTAAACTCATTTGTTTTGCTCCTATTTTTGAGATCTGGAAACATCTGTTGCAGAAGTGTCTCCTGAGCAGTTCCAGTTATCATCGCCACATTCATCAGATTCACAGGATACGGTCATCCTTTCAGACAGCCCTTTGAGAAAACGTCAGAAACTGGATGCAGAAGCTAAGCAAGTAAGAGTTAACAGATTTCCACATTCTTCTAATAGTGTCTTTTTTGTTTGTAGTTTAAGTGTTCTGAACTGTAGTGGTTATATCAACATGTAGAATGTTTTTATTGTGTTTTCCAGTTGGTGGAATCCATTCTCACCAGCAAACCTGGTGGAGAACGTATAATAAATGAGTACAATCGGACCAAGTCCCTGGTGGATGAAACCAGAAGAAAAATGGTCAA